TGAGGGGTGTTATCCAAAACATTGAACAAACAGCAGCACATCACAGAAATTAACCAATCAGAATCTACACTGGCAGTAAAGAACTGGTAAATACTATGCACCGATTATTCTCTTCTTATTACTAACAGAAGCAAATTTTCAAGTTTCTTATGGGAATAATTTTATTTATACAAAATAACCTCAACTTTACTAATGTACTACTATAAAACAAAGTTGAATCAAATAATATTCAATAACAGCATGCCGTTTAAATTTCTTAATCTGGGCCAGACACAGTGGCTCACGCCTGTAATCCCAGCACTTTGGGAGGCCAAGGTGAGAGGATCACTTGAGGCCTGGAGTTCGAGATCAGCCTGGCCAACATGGTGAAACCCTGTCTCTACTAAAAATACAAAAATTAGCCGGGCACGGTGGCACATGCCTGTAATACCAGCTACTTGGGAGGCTGAGGCAGGAGAATCGCTTGAACCTGGAAGGCAAAGGTTGCAGTGAGCCGAGATCGCGTTGCTACACTCCAGCCTGGGAGATAGAGTGAGACTCCGTCTCAAAATAAATAAATAAATAAATACATAAATAAATAAATAAATCTCTTAATCTGACTCACTGGTGCTAACATGTCACAAGTAAACGTTTTAAGATAACTTCGCTTTCAGAAAATGTGAAACTGTCGATTCTAAACAAGTACCTTAATTTACTCTTACCTTTTTTATCAGAAAATGTTGGTCTTGTTCCCAAATAAAACTACCAATTTTTCTTCTTATTTCTGTGATGAGAAAAACAAATCCAATACTGTTTTTTTTTAAACCTTCCGAATTTTGCTTAAAGTCTGAAATTTCTAGGCCAGTGTTATTCTATTTTCAACAAAATCACATAACACGCTTGTTAAAATGCAGATTCCTATTGAATCAGATCTTTGAGGAGGAGCTCTGGAATTTGCTTTTCTAAGAAACTCTCCAGATGATTCTAATACACTTTGCTAATCATTGTTGTAGACTTTTCCTGCTAGAATATATCTACATCTATATTTGTATCTCTATATACATTAGATGTGTGTATGTGTGTGTGTGTATATATATATCATTGAGGTATGTTCATCCACTCTTATATCTATATTTGTATCTACATATACATTAGATATATATCAGTATCTATATCTGTATCATTAGCTATACATTAGATGTATTTAGTATACATATATAGATATAGATCTGCATATATAGATATATCTATATATAATAATGCATATGTATCTATATAATGCATTAGATATATTAGATGTATATCTAATGTCTATATAACTATGGATATTGATACCTATATAGATATAAAAGAAGGGTGGATGAACAATATGTCTAGTTAACATGGTAGTACAGGAATTCTACAATGGTCCACATGTCAAAGGACAATGTCATCATCCAAACTCAATGATCTCAAAAGTTTTCGCAGTAGCCAAAAGGACAAAAAAGGTGGTATTACTCTAGACTTTTGCTGTCCAGTATGGCAGCCACTAGCTACATGTAGGTACTGAGCACTGGAAATGTGTGGTTAATCCAAAATGAGAGGTGCTGTGAGTATAAAATAAATACAGGATTTTGAAGACTTAGTATCAAAAAAAGAATGTAGGGTATCTCAGTTTTTATAGATTATATATTGAAATGATAATATTTTAGATGTATTAGGTTAAATAAAATACATTCCTAAAATTAATTATACTCAGTTAATTATGTAATTAAGTTTTTTAGAGAAGGGGGTCTCACTATGTTGCCTAGGCTGGAATGCAGTGGCTATTCACAGGGGTGATACTGGTGCACTGCAGCCTCAAATTTGGGGGCTCAAGGGATCCTCCCACCTCAGCCTCTAGAGTAACTGGGATTATAGGTGCATGCCACCTTACTGAGCTATTTTTTATTCTTATTAATGTGGCTACTAGAAAATGTAAAATTCATATGTGGCTCACATTTGCATCTCACGCTTCTACTAGACAATAGGCAGATTTAAAAAGGTATGCTTTTAATTTTTAAAAAGAAGCACGTTTTCATTTAAAACAGATTTTTGAAAATTTAAATACATGTTAATATAAGATGCTAAACTCAAAGGCAGAATAGGAGTGATCATTTAAAATCATGTAAGTAAATAGGAGTGATAAATTAAATCACAGCCATTCTACAATATAAGCTCCTTGAAGGTGGGTATTCACTGATTGGCACAAGTAGTTTTTAAAATCAATTCCCCTATCCAGTCATTAATCGATTTGTGTAACCACTTAGAACAATTTAGTGTTATAAGTAGGTTTCACCAGGACATCGACTATGGAAGGAACCAAATCTCTGGGGTTTCTAATGGCTCTTTTATAGAAATAATTTTTAAGTTATTTGTTTTCTTTTCTTTTTAATACTCTCCTCACTGGGAATATGTACTCAGCTTCAATCTGTCTTTTTGGAGATGAACAGATATCTATTGGATAGGCAAGCTACATATCAAGAATTGGGTAATAATACAAAACGTATCAATGGGGTAAAGTTAGCCAAGGCCAGCCGCAGTGGCTCACGCCTGTATTCCAACCACTTTGGGGGGCTGAGGCGGGCAGATCACTTGAGGTAAGGAGTTCAAGACCAGCCCGGCCAACATGGTGAAACCCCATCTCTACTAAAAATATAAAAATTAGCCAGGTGTGGTGGTGGGTGCCTGTAGTCCCAGCTACTCAAGAGGCTGAGGCAGGAGAATCACTTGAACCCAGGAGGTGGAGGTTGCAGTGAGCTGAGATCACACCACCGCACTCCAGCTTGGACGACAGAGCAAGATTCCATCTCAAAATAATAATAATAATAATAATAATAAAGTTAGCCCAAAAAAATAGGCAGGATTTGGGTAGGATAAGGAAGGGTGTTCCAAGCAGAGAAAACTAAAAGAACCAATCTCAGAAGCAGTTGATTTACTTTCCCATCGTATTTTCAAGGGGTGCTGAAAAAATTGATGTGAAAGTGCTTTCAAGTGTATTTTAAAAAATACAAATACATGGGTTTATTATCATAACCAATCTTTAAATATCAGAAGAAAAAATTAGGAAAATAATGAAGAGATTCAAAACTAGCAAAGAACACATTTATTAAATGCTCACCACATCAGACACCTTAAAACATTATCTTATTTTTAAAAATAATTGGAAATTATTAAAATAAATAAAGACAGGGTCTCACCATGTTACCCTGTTGCCCAGGCTAGTCTTGAACTCCTGGGTTCAAGTGATCTGCTTGCCTCAGTTTCCCAAAATTCTGGGATTATAGGCATGCCCTACCGCGCCAGGCCTATTATCTCATTTTATCCTCAAAACAACTTCAGAAAAGTAACTTGCTAAAAGATCACAAAACTAGTAAGCATTAGACCCTAGCCCGTGAAGGAAAGATCTGCGTCTGTCTGTCTCTCCATTGAATCCCCAGCACCTACCCAGGTTGCAACCTGGCACACAGGAAGAGCTCAATGAATATGAATAAACAATACATAAACAAAGTCAGGATATACACCCAAGGCAAATTGATCCAAAGTCCATGCTTTTTCCACTTATGTTAAATAGATACGAAATTAAAAAATATGTGACTGAGAACAAAATAAGTACAGTGGAATTTGGCTGTTTCACAGAGATTAGCCGGATTTGACTGTCTGACAGGGATTGGCTGAATGATCTTTGCTAACCTTTATGCAGGCAAGCAGGAGGAAGAATGAAATGACCCAAAGCCACCGAGGTTTTTATTTCGGCATTAGCTACTGCAGAGAGATAGTAGGCATGAAAAACTGTAGCATTATCTTCTATGTAATCAAGGCTCTGATATATTCTAGGAGAAAGAAAGGAAATATTTTAGGTTATGAAACAAACAAGAATGTATTCAACCTTTCAAAAGAATAAATAAATAACTGGAAGTAGGGAGACGACTACATTGATGCATACATCTATGTGTCCTTTTCTGGCAAGGAAGGAAAAACGTATGGCATAAGATACTACTTTCTGGGGGCCTATATCTGGCACATCTCAGCTTTACAGGGTTGGTTAATGACCATATGAATTAGAAAACTTGATCTAAAACAGTCGTGTTTACTAGGCATCAACCGTGGATTGCGCTAGCAGCCTATGGGTCTTATCCATGGTCATTGCTATAAATAGGGATCAATTAATCCTGAGGTGAGGAGCGCTCATGCAGTCAGAAAAACCTTCACATATAGAAAGCAACATCTTTTCTACAGGTGGAGATAAGAAGAGCATTACAAGAAAAAGGCATGCGTGAAGGCACAATAATGGCAGTTGGGGTTGACTGGGCTACGGAAGGCGTGAGAAAAACTGGGAAATAAACAAGGTAGGCACAGACACGATCTAAATCTGTAGGAAATCGGTGGGTGGAGGGGGGAGTGGGGAAAGGAGGATGTGGTAGGGCCCTGATCTGATGTCTGGTTTGTAAACAAAATCTGCAGCCCTGCGAAGGGGGATCTCAGGGAACAGATTCGAGGCACAGTAACAGCTTAGGAAGTTATTTTGATAGTCCCGTCCAAAAGGGAATTAAGGTGCTACTAAGTTAGTGGCAGTGAGCATAAAGAACAATTACAGGGATCTAATTCATGGTATTCGGCCACTGACTGTTTCATGGCGTAGGGTTGTTATTCAAAATTTTGGAGAATACAGGCCTTGGCGCAGGTATGAAGGGATGTAAGATTTGATTTAGACATTGAATATCAGGGGCCTTCAAGGCGCCACACGCAGGTGTAGAAGCGGCAGCTGGAAACACACACTTGGAATTCAGGAAGAGGCCTGAGGACCAGGGAGAAGCCTGTGACACTGCAGCAGACAGGAAAGGTGGTTGTCTATTTCTTTCCCTCAAATCTAGGACTGAAAACTTGCCCTTTTCCAGCCTCACCCTATCGTCAATATTATTTATTTATTTTTTAATTTTATTATCTTATTAATTTTTGAGATGGAATCTTGTCTGTCACCCAGGCTGGAGTGCGATCTTGGCTCACTGCAACCTCTGCCTCCCGAGTTCAAGTAATTCTCCTGCTTCAGTCTCCCGAGCAGCTGGGATTATAGGTGTCCGCCACGGCGCCCCGCCTCATCAATATTAGTGGACTGCAACTTCCTTCCCTAACTCCCGGCTCATCCTAACGTAAGTGGCGCTGCCAGGTGGCCCTCAGTACCTCAGCGTGTCTGGGTGCGAGGCATCACAGCTGAACAAGAAGTCGGCGGCTCGCGGGTCACTGATCGTCCCCCCTTCAGCCACTGTGGAGGTAAGAGCACGGGGTGAACCTATCAAGCACCCTGGACCCAAAGCATCAGAGACAGGAGGATGCTCCCCTCACCACCTAACCCGCTGCTTCCACTCAGCTTCCTACCCCAGAATTGCCTCAGATCCCGGCTAACGCTGCGGCAAAACCAACCGCGCTGCCCTTGAAACATGGCGTCGCCAAGCCTGCGCGGACGTGAGAGAGGAGGCCCCAGAGCTGAGATCCCTGATTGGTTCCAGGTCCAACGCCAAGCTCAATGATTGGTTCCCAAGAGAAACGGCCGGGAAAGGCCTGAGGCCCTCAGGTGAGGGACGGTCTCTGACTGCTTATCCGGATCACTTAGGGGCCTCTCAGCCTTGCCCTGGTAAGAGGAGGAGAGCGACTCGAGTTGGTGAGGGTTTTTTGTTGTTTGGTTGACTTTGTTTTAAATTTTGAGGTGGCGAGTGTTAACCCTAAATATTAACAAAGTTACCATGCTGTGTATGTACAGGCATAGGGCAGAGTCTGCAGCATCAAGTTTTATTTTTGAAGCAAAATTCATTTCATCATTTCATCTATAAACGTTTCACTTTGAATCCCTTAAAAGTGAGGACTTAAAAAACACACACACAACCGCGACACCATCATCACACTTAAAAGATAGTTCTTTAATATAGTCAAATATCACCAGTGTTCAAATTTCTGTTTTACTCAAAATTGTTTTCCTTTTACAGTTTTCCGCCTCTTACAATAGTTGTGATAAGTAGTTATATTTTTCTAGTATTGTGTTCCTTTAAACATTAAAAAATTGTTTATATAAAGTTGTCCATAAAATCTTTTACTATCTTTTTAAATATCTGTGAGAGCTCTAGTCATGGTTCTTTTTTTTTCTTTTTGTTTTTCTTGTTTTTAAATTTTTCCTCCTTCTTTAGTCACCTCTCTGACAATCTTTTTTCATTTCTCATTCTGGTTATTTGTGCCTTCCCTTTTTTTTATTTCCTAGTCTCATTAGAACTTTGTCAATTGTATTAGTCTTTTCAAAGAACATACTTCTGGTTTTATTGATATTCTCTTTATATATTTCTTTTGTATATCATTAATTTTAGCTTTTTATAATTTCCTTCCATTTTTCTTTGTTTAAAATTGCTGTTCTTAGGCTGGGCACAGTGGCTCATGCCTGTAATCCCAGCACTTTGGGAGGCTGAGGTGGGCGGATCACCTGAGGTCAGGAGTTCGAGACCAGCCTGGCCAACATGGTGAAACCCTGTCTCTACTAAAAATACAAAAAATAGCCATCTGTGGTGGCGCATGCCTGTAATCCCAGCTACTAGGGAGGCTGAGGCAGGAGAATTGCTTAAGCCCAGGAGGCAGAGGTCGCAGTGAGCTGAGATCACACCACTGCACTCCAGCCTGGGTGACAGAGCAACACTCCATCTCAAAAAAAAAAAAAAAAAAAAAAAAAAAAAAAATGCTGTTCTTTTTCTAATTTCTTGAACTGGATGATTGTTTTTCATCCTTTATTTTTCTAATATGTGCATATAAAGCTGTAAATTTCCTTTGAAATCTGTGCCACATGTTTTTGAGATGTCTTTTTATTATTGGTCAATTCAAAGTATTTTCAGATTTCCCATATGAGTGTTATGACTAGTGGATTATGCAAAATGTTTTTAAATCTCCAAGTACATATGATTTTCTAGTTATCTAGTTGTTATTGATTTCTGGAGTTTGAGACCAGTCTGGCAACATGGTGAAATGCTGTCTCTACTAAAAATATAAAAACTATTTGAGTGTGGTGACACATGCCTTTGGTCCCAGCTACTTGGGAGACTGAGGCAGGAGAATCACTTGAATCCAGGAGGTGGAGGTTTCAGTGAGCCGAGATCATGCCACTGCACTACTACAGCCTGGGCAAGAGAGCAAGACTCTATCTCAAAAAAAAAAAAAAAAAAGAAAAAGGTGTTTTGTGTGATCTTTTCTCTTGAAGACCAGGAAGAGTTTATCTTTAAATGTCCCATTTTACTTCATGTGCCCTTCACACTTGTAAACTATTCTTCACCTTTTTTATCCTAATACATCCATAGTTACATTGATATATTTGTTTTTAGCCATAACAAGTTTCAATGTGCATTCTTGTCAATATTGTTTCCTTCAAAATCTATAAAGGCTAATGATTTTACTAGCTTATGACTTAAAGTTTACTGTTTCAGGAGAATTTTCCCAAATACTCAGTTGCCTCAAGTTTATTTCAGCAAAAATTTCTTGTAACATACTTTTAAATATTATCTCTTATTAGTTTATTCCATTGTTTCACTACTTTTTTCCTGGCAACTTTGTGAATAGTGCCTTTGCTAAACTTTGATTTCTACCACTTTTCTATGACCTCTTTTTTCCTTATGTCATTTTCATTCTCCAGGTTGTTTTTCTACCTTTCTTCAATGCTAGTCATTATATTTTCATTTGAGTCTATTCTCTTTTGTGTCCTTGTGGTTCCCTTTTTCTTTAGGAGATAACTTTGTCTTTCTTTCATTTATCTGCCGGCTTCAATTAACTATATTTTCATTTCCTTCTATTTTTGCCCATTTTTGTTCTTATTTTTTAGATACCTGACTCAATTGGCTTTTCATATCCACAAATGCTTATTTGAATAAATTTTATTCTATTTGAAGAGTTGGCTTAGAATTTTATTCTGATTCATAGTTATTTAATTTGGGGAGATTTGAATTAGTCAAAGTATATTGGATCTGATTGTTTTATTTGTTTATTAATGATTTACTTAAGTTACATGAACTTGAAAATGTCTTAGACTGATTTAAATAATTTATGAACACTCTTAGACTGATTTAAATAATTTTTACTTACTCCTGACCTCAAGTGTTCTGCCCTCCTCGGCCTCCCAAAGTGATGGAATTACAGGCGTGAGCCACCATGCCCAGCCTATCAGACCTTTCAAAAACAACATACAAAGGAAAACAATCATAAGGTGAGTAACAAAATTCAAAATACACTCTAATATACAGAGGATTTTATATCCAGCCAACTAACCTCTGAGTACCAGGACTACACAAGAAAGTATTAAAGATATAAGAACATATAAAATCATTTACCTACAAGCTTTTCTTGAAGAAACTACAGGATGAGCTTCATCCAAACAAATATTACTGGGAAATCCTCACTGATATGGAAATCTTATATATTGTGTAAGTTAAAAATAATGAAACTAAAAATGGGAGGAGAAGAGAGAGGGAAAGAAGAAAGTAGAATAAGTTAAATTTTTTTTAAATATAGAAGCAATTAATACAGGACTTGTAGAAAAGGAAACAGCAATTATAATAAACACAGTTATAAAATATTGTGACACAATTGAGGCCAAATCTATCAAAAGTCATATTTATCAATATGAATGGCTTAACTACCAAAAAAAGACCACTTTGAATCACAAAACACAGCCCAAATATTTGCAGAATATAAGAGACACACCAAAAACAAAGTGATTAAGAAAGGTTAAAAATTTATGCATGGCCAGGTGCAGTGGCTCACACCTGTAATCCTAGCACTTTGGGAGGGTGAGGCGGGCAAATCACCTGAAGTCAGGAGTTCAAGACCAGCCTAGTCAACGTGGTGAAACCCCGTTTCCACTTAAAAATATAGAAAGTAGCTAGGCGTGGTGGCGGGTGCTTGTAATTCCAGTTAGTCAGGAGGCTGAGGCAGGAGAATCGCTTGAAGCAGGCGGAGGTTTCAGTCACCCGAGATCGTGCCATTGCACTCCAGCCTGGGTGACAAGTGCAAGACTCTGTCCCCCACCCCCAAAAAAAGCACAAAGCATATTAAGCAAATGAAAACATTAAAAAAAGCAAGGTATAGTGATCGCGATCCTTGTGTAAATAGTATTCAGTACACAAAACATTAAGCAAGACAAAGAAAGCTAGCTTTTTTTTTTTTTTTTTGAGGAGGAGTCTCGCTCTGTCGCCCAGGCTGGAGTGCAGTGGCGGTATCTCGGCTCTCACTGAAAGTTCCGCCTCCTGGGTTCACTCCATTCTTCTGTCTCAGCCTCTCTAGTAGCTGGGACTATAGTCGCCCGCCACCACAGCCCGCTAATTTTTTTGTATTTTTAATAGAGACGGGATTTCACGGCGTTAGCCAGGATGGTCTCCATCACCTGACCTTGTGATCCGCCCGCCTGGGCCTCCCAAAGTGCTGGGATTACAGGCGTGAGCCACCGCGCCCGGCGAAAGCAAGCTTTTAATGCTAAAACCCGATTCACGATGAAGATACACTACTTATGAATGTCTGCGTAAAACAAATCACATTCTGCGTAAACAGAAACCACAGAGGCACTAATGAGTAGTTAAGAAGGCTCTCATCATTGGGAACTTTAAAACACTAATCTCAATACAACACAAATCAAGTGGACAAAATAACCAAGGATATAGAAAACCTAAACATCATAAAATCAATAAGGAAAATCGTAAGAATAAATATAAACATTACACCCTTAGAGAATATACTTTTTTTGGAGACACAGCCTCACTCTGTTGCCCGGGCTGGAGTGCAGAGGAACAATCTCAGCTCACCGCAACCTCCAACTCCCTGGTTCAAGCAATTCTCCTGCCTCAGCCTCCCAAGTAGCTGGGACTACAGGGGGGTGCCACTGCGCCCAGCTAATTTTTGTATTTTTAGTAGAGAAGGGGGTTTCACCATGTTGGCCAGGCTGGTCACGAATTCCTGACCTCGTAATCAGCCCACCTTGGTCTCCCAAAGTACTGGAATTACAGGCGTGAGCCACCACGCCCCGCCTAGAGAATATACTTTGTCAAGAACACATAGAATAGTCACAAGAAATTATCATATAATAGATCATAAAGACATATCTGCAAGTTCCGTAAGTACAAATATTATTAACAACACTTTCTAGTTACAATTCAATGACACTAGAAATTATTAGCAAAGTCACAAACACAAAGACTCTTTCCCATGGAAATTTTAAAAAATTGTTAACTATGGAATAAAAGTAAAAGTTAACTATGGAGTCAAAGGGGAAATGGAAAAATTCTAAAAACAGTGATAAAATATTACAGATCAGCATCCATGGGCTCATTTAATGTAGAAATCAGAGGAAAATTCTTAGCACTGAGCACGCTATTGGACCATTTTCACATTGCTGATAAAGACACACCCAAAACTGGGAAGAAAAAGAGGTTTAGTTGGATTTATATTTCCATGTGGCTGGGGAGGCCTCAAAATCATGGCGGGAGGTGAAAGGCACTTCTTACATGGTGAGGGCAAGATGAAATGAGGAGGAAGCAAAAGCGGAAATCCCTTATAAACCCGTCGGATCTCCTGAGACTTATTCACTATCACAAGAGGAGAACGGGAAAGATCGGCCCCTATGATTCAATTACCTCCCCTTAGGTGGCTCCAACAACACGTGGGAATTCTGGGAGATACAATTCAAGTTGAGATTTCAATGGGGACACAGCCAAACTATGTCAAGCACATTTATTAGAAATGAAAGAATTCAATATATGATTTAATTTCACAGATGGAAAACACAGAAAAGTAATACAATAATAAAGTAATACAAAACAAACAAAAAGCCCAAGAAAAAAATAATAAAGATGAAAGGAGAAGCAATTGGATAGGGAATAGAAAAACAAGAGTGAAATGCAGACCTCAATAGAACCATATCAATAATGCATTAAATGTAAATAGGTATATCACCCCAACGAAAAAGCATAGAAGACCAGACAGAATATAAAAGCAAGAAACGACTGAATTCTTGTCTATTAGGTACAAAATTTAGATATGATGACACAGATTGATGAAATTGAACAAGTGGGAAATAAAATACCATGCACATTATAAGCAAAAATTTCAATGTAAATATCGAACATCAAGACAAAAGGGACAAAGAAGGACAGTTAATAATGTTAAAAGTGTCAATATATCAGTAATATGTAAAAATTATTGCCATACATGTGCCTAAAAACAGAAGTAGGATATAAAATATTTAACAACTAACGGGAGAAAAGAAACTCCAAAATCATAGTTGGAGATTTTAACACTAATCTTGCAGCAATTAATAGAAGAGGTGACAAAAAAAAAAAAAAAAAAAAAAAAACAAAAAAAAAACACTTCAAAATAAATGATCTGATGAGTGCCATTAACTACTTTAATCAAAGTAATATTTATGAAAATCCTAAAAGTTGACAATAAATATCCTTTCAAGTCCAAATGCAATATATTTACCAAGAATTTGCATATACTGGGTCATGAAACATGTCTCAATAAGCTTTAAAATTTAAAATTTTACAGAATATGTTCCCTCACCAAAATTATCCTAATTTAGAAATTAACAGAGGTAAAACATTGAGATATTCCCCAACATCTGGAAGCTGAACAACTCACTTTGAAACAGCAGATTGCCCAAGGAACACATCACAACTAAAAACAAAATATTTTGAAATGGATGAAAATTAAAACACAGAGTATCAATATTTCTGAGAGGTATGGAAAACAGTGTAGATGAATCAATTTATGTATATGTTAGGAAATAAAGCAAAAACTCTATGTTAATGATACATTTAAACCTTAGGAAGCTAAGCAAAGCAAAAAGAGCAAATTTAGATGACAATAAGTAGGCAGAAAAAACATAGGTGACAGAAGAAATTGATGAAAACGAAAGCTAAAGAGCAATTGAGAGAAACAATTAAAACAAAAGGGTTTTTTTTTTTATAATGAGCCCTAAAACTGGTAACACTTCAGCAAGTTACTAATATCTAGAATGAAAGGGAAGCTACTATTAAAATTCCAACAAAGGAGTAGACAATTCCAACCTATTTTAAGTGACCAGCATAACTCCAGAAGTAAACAATATCCCTATGAATGTAGATGCTAAATTTCTTAACAAAATATTGGGAAATCAAATGCAATAATTTATTTTTTCTTTTTTGAGACACAGTCTTGCTGTGACACCCAGGCTGGAGTGCAGTGGCACGATCTCGGCTCACTGCAAGCTCCGCTTCCTGGTTTCACGCCATTGTCCTGCCTCAGCCTCCCGAGTAGCTGGGACTACAGGCACCTGCCACCATACCGGGCTAATTTTTTGTATTTTTAGAATAGACAAGGTTTCACTGTGTTAGCCAGGATGATCTCAATCTCCTGACCTCGTGATCTGCCTGCCTCGGCCTCCCAAAGTGCTGGGATTACAGGCGTGAGCCACCACACCCGGCCATTTACCAGTTCTTTACTGCCAGTGTAGACTGTGATTGGTTAATGCCTGTGATGTGCTGTTTGTTCAATGTTTTGAATAACACCCCTCAATAAATGTGTACAAGAGTCTGTCTGAACCTATTCTGGTTCGGGGGCTGCCTGATTAACCAAAAAAAGAAAAAAAATGTGTACAATACTGGAAAAATAATTGTTTTGTAGCTTTTGCCATCCTGCCTCAGATTCACTTATGCTTTTGACTTACTTCATAATCTTTAAGTAATAGCCAAATTGCAAACAATTGAGCATTAAAACTAATGACAATAATGGATATGTTAGGTAAAAAGAATCCATGTGCTTGCTTCAGCGGCACACATACTACAATTGGAACAATACAGAGATTAGCATGGCCCCTGCGCAAGGATGACATGCAAATTCATGAAGCATTCCATATACATATATGATACTCCAAAAGCAGACATAAGGAAAAAGGAAGGACAGAAGGAAGAAATGAAAGAAGGAAGAAAATAAGGAAGAAAAGGGTGGGATAAGGAAAATTTTCCTTTACAAAATAGCAGCTAGTAAATATAGAAAGAAAGATAAAATCGAAAATCACCATTTTTAAAACCCTCAATATAATAATTGATTTAGATAAGGTCATTAATGGATTCTAAACCCATGATCTCAAGTTGTCATCCCACAGATTGGTTATTAGTTCCAAAGTTAAACGGTGTACCTTTACAATGGAGAGATCTGGCCGGCACCACTTTAGCAAACTTAGCATCACCAATATTGGAGAAACCTTTCAGTATGTTCAGTCTGATATGATATAATAAATACACAGTATTATCTGTGTAGTATTCTTGTTCAAAACACTTCACTCGAATTTAATTATGAGTTAACATTCAGACAAATCCAGAATATGGACCATACCACAAGACAATTAACTGACCGGGACTCTAACATCAGTTAATGTCATCAAATACAAAAAAAGCAATAGGACCGTAGTAGATGAAGAGACATAAAAAAGAGGAATAAAAGACATTTGGAGAGCAATTGGGAAAATGTAACAATGAACTGTATAATAGGTGATACTGTGTTACATTTTATTTTCTTAAGCGTGATAGTGGCGTTGTAAAGATAAAACAATGTATATTTTTAGAAAACACATGCCAGGTATTAGAGAGTGGAAATGTCATATCTGCAAATGTTTTCAAGTGGTTCCACAAAAATAAAAAGGGGGGGGCACTCAAGGTGTCGGAAATGTTAACACTTTGTGAATCCAGGTGAAAGGTATATGGTATTTATTTTACTATTCTTTTTTTTTTTTTTTTTTTTTTTTTTGAGACGGAGTCTCGTTCTGTCACCAGGCGGGAGTGCAGTGGTGGGATCTCAGCTCACTGAAACCTCCACCTCCTGGGTGCAAGTGATTCTCATGCCTCAGCCTCCCAAGTAGCTGGGATTACAGGCATCTGCCACGACACCCAGCTAATTTTTGAATTTTTAGTGGAGACTGGGTTTCACCATGTTGGCCAGGATGGTCTCAATCTCCTGGCCTCGTGATCTGCCCACCTTGGCCTCCCAAAGTGCTGGGATTACAGGTGTGAGCCACCGCACCTGGTCTATTGTACTATTCTTTAACTTTTTGGTACGTTTGAAATTTTTCACAATAAAGAGTTAGGGAGAAAATCTTTCACTTTTATTTTTTATTTGTTTTAAACTTTAAACCCACAGCCACATCATAGAGAAAAACTTTACAGTATGTCCAAAATCAGGCTATCAACATATATTTTATATTTCTGTTATTAATTTGTTTTTTCTTCCCAAGGCATCATCATCTGAAAATAATAGTTCTTTCAGTTTTTTTGTCTAGGAGGTAACAGTATGTTGTACTAAGGACTGAAATATCTAATCCTTGACTTTTCACAGTGTTTCCAGGAACGTGAGCAGTAATGCAATGGTTATTATTTGATGGTAATTATTGACTCTACCAGAACTTTAGAGTTTACAGATCACTAATTTCATCATTTAGCTTTATACATGAGAAAACTAAGGTAAAGAATATATAATGACCTGTTTTAGTACACGATGGCAGATATTAGCAAAGTGGAGCCCAATTTTCTCAGCTCTAACCCAATCCAATGTTTTTTTCTACTAAAAAAGTACTAGAACATGCTTGTATGGATGTTGACTCTAGAAGTTATATTACTACATGATAAAAAAGTTTGTCAGTTCTTTCAGAATATTGCTTGATATGAGTATTAGCCCATTATAATCATGTAACCATAGCATATATAAGTGGAAGGTATTCATCGAATGGCAATAACAAGGGTAGATCTGGGGAGCATTATTATTGTTTGGAGTGGATTTAAGTTTTTATTTAAATATAGAAACTTCTTAATGGTGGCTGGGCACAGTGGCTTATACCTGTAATCCCAGCACTTTGGGAGGCTGAGGCGGGCTGATTGCCTGAGCTTGGTAGTTCGAACCAGCCTGGGCAACATGGCAAAACCCCATCTCTACTAAAAATACAAAAAATTAGCCGGATGTGGTGGCTGGCACCTGTAATCTCAACTATTCGGGAGACTGAGGCAGAGGAATTGCTTGAACTTGGGAGGCGGAGGTTGCAGTGAGCCGAGATCGTGCCACTGCACTCCAGCCTGGGCAACAGAGCAAGACTCTGTCTCAGAAAAAAAAAAAAAAAAAGAAAGAAAGAAAAAGAAAAGAAACTTCTTAATGGTATATAAAATAAATAGATTATGTGATAGGTACCAGTATCTAAGTTGCTTTCACAAAATATTTGGGAAAAGCTTAACATACATTTAGTTATTTTATATCTTTATAGCTAAATACTTCACTGTCCTTTTGAAGGAGAAATATAATTTGCTCAGCTTACTTTATATTTTTTATATGTAGCTCACAAGAAGCCCAGGAATCCTCAAATCAAGGATTTTAAGAAAGTTTAAATTAGTAGCAAGTTTGTTTCCTTATTTTTGTGACTAAAAAGTAATATAACCACATTAGAGGAAATTTCAATACTTGAGAATAAAATCAGTCAAAGTTTTGCTTATCTGACATAATCACAGCAGGTATATTTAAAATGCTCATCTTCTTTATGGGTCTCTAAAAATATATAGTATAATTATATGTGTGTGTGGACGAAATTTTGTAAATTTTCTCCACCAAGCTAGATTGAATAGACTTAAATGTGTAAATATTTTATGGCTTTTGATATATATATTGCCAGTTTATTTTTCCTTTTTAGAACCATTACTGATTGGATCATTGGTATGATGATTTTTTAAAATGTGATTTATTTTTCTATCCACAGCATGATGAAGTAACACCAAATGAAATAAAGACCCTTGGGGAAAACAGCGAACTTGCAACAGAGCACATAAAAGAATTATCCGAAAGGTACTGAATTCATAAACTTCACTGATACTCAATTCAGTGTAGACATCTGTGAGCACTGATTGTGTGCTTATCTCATTTAATTTTCAGTTTTCCTATGAGATTGATAGCATTATAATCATTTCCATTACACAAAAAAAGAGATCTATGATTAGAAAGATAAGCAATCTCCCCAAAGTCATACAAACTTTTATTAAGTAGGGGAGAAGCAGGATTTGAAGTGAGTCAGAGCCCATTCATTTAAATGTCAGTCATTAAATACTATACTACGTATTTACTATGTAGCATACTATACTATCTCATAGTATAGCACACTATATTGTCTCTTCAGAAAGGAAACAAGGACTTTATGTATGTTATGATAACAGTTAATAAATTATTTAAAAATTATATGCTTCTCTGTGTGAAAACCCAATCATCATGCTTATGAACTACAAAAGAATCTTAAAATATATTTTTTACTTGGAAGGAAATACACTACATATTAGCAGTAATTTTATTAGGATGAAAAGTGGCGAGTGATTTCCCCTCTTCTGTCCAAATTGCTTGTAATATATTACTTTGGTTTAAGAAATTAAATTTAGACTGGGTATTGTGGCGCATGCTTGTAATGTCAGCACTTAAGGAGGCTGAAGCCGGATGACCGCTTGAGCCCAGGAATTTGAGACCAGTATGGGCAGCATGGGGATACCCCATCTCTATAAAAAATTTAAAATACTAGCTGGGCATAGTGGCACATACCTGTAGTCCCAGCTATTTGGAGGCTGAGGTGGAAGGATTGCTTGAGCCCAGGAGTGAGCCGTGATCATGCCACTGCACTCTAGCCTGGGAGACAGAACAATACTCTGTCTCAAAGAAAAACAAGAAATTAATTTAAAAAGACAAACAAACATGGCCTTGCCCTTATATTAGGACCAATTTATGAGAGGCCTTCTCATTGCAGGCTTATACATGATCTACTTCTCGTTCCATGGTTTCCAATTCAGTTGTTTTTCAAATATTCATAGGGAACATTGATTTTTCAGAAGTGTATGTTTTATCCTCCAAACCTGTGGCCAGAGTCAACTTAAAAGTGGAGGCAGGGGAGTCCCCACAAGGGGGTGCCCCAGACTGTCCCAAGTTGTGGTCAGTTGGGATTCTAAAGAAAAAACCACTAAATGAAGTAATCAGTCTAAAGCATTTACTGAGGGAACTTGCAGATTACTGCGCCAATCCTTGCAATGGACAAGATAAAAGGGGTGTTCTACCTAGGTATATCCACAGTGAGAGGGTCTGGATATGGAGTTTATATGAGGGTCTAAGGAATCTGGCTCAGGGCTGAGGCCAGTTTCTTTCAGTGTTTTGAGCAGCAACCTAAATACCTTTATCAGTCCCTGGAAATGTTTAAGGTCCTGGTTTGAGTTCAAGCCCGCTGGGAAAACCCTGCACTGGGCTGTCTCACAGAGCAGTCAAAGCACTCTGTGATTTTTGGTCAGGACATGGAAAGAAAGCCAGGAGTAGAATCGGGGGAGGGGAGGATGGGACTGGGGTACCCTGCAGTCTGGTATTTAGCTGCTGTAATAAAAATGATCAAATAGTAGTTATCATTCTTCAAAATAAAAAGTAATGTTGTAATTTACATAATTTTTTCAAGTTTTTCTTCCATAAGGGCTAATTTCCTTAATATACAAAGAGGTATTACAAATCTGGGAAAAATACGACCAATCCAAAAACAACAAAAATGGACAAAGGATATGAATAAACCCTGGGTAGGTGTCTACTTTGAGCCTTTTCTTTGTGGAAACAGCAGAGGGTGCAGTGTGAACATAGATAAAATATACCCTCAATTTACCTGCATTTGTTAGCATACTACTGGGGACATTGATTTTTTTTTTTACATCATACAAACTTGATGTACAAAAAATCAGGCAGTACAGATTTAGTATAAAATCCTAATTTCTCCCAAATCTTCTCCCAGTAATAACCTTCATTTTTTGTTTTTTGTTTTTGATTGAGAAAAAATCTTAACTCTGTTGCCCAGGCTGGAGTGCAGTGGTGTGATCTCGGCTCACTGCAACCTCTGCCTACCGGGTTCAAGCAATTCTCGTGTCTTGGCCTCCCGAGCAGTGGGGACTACAGACACATGCCACCCCACCACACCAGCTAATTGTTTGTATTTTTAGTAAAGATACGGTTTTGCCATGTTGCCCAGGCTGGTCTCAAATTCCTGGCCTCAAGTGATCCACCTGCTTCAGCCTCCCAAAGTGCTGGGATTACAGGCATAAAGCACCCGTGCCTGGCTGAAAAATCTTATTTGATATTTTTTTTTTTTTTTTTTTTTTTTTTTTTTTGAGATGGAGTCTCGCTCTGCCGCCCAGGCTGGAGTGCAGTGGCCGGATCTCAGCTCACTGCAAGCTCCGCCTCCCGGGTTCACGCCATTCTCCTGCCTCAGCCTCCCGAGTAGCTGGGACTACAGGCGCCCACCACCGCGCCCGGCTAGTTTTTTGTATTTTTTAGTAGAGACGGGGTTTCACCGTGTTAGCCAGGATGGTCTCGATCTCCTGACCTCGTGATCCGCCCGTCTCGGCCTCCCAAAGTGCTGGGATTACAGGCTTGAGCCACCGCGCCCGGCCCTTATTTGATATTATGATGTATAATGGCAGCATATGACATTTCATTTTGTTTGTTTAACTTTTTTTTTTTTTTTTTTTTTGAGACAAAATCTCACTCTGACCCCTGGGGCTGGAGCACACTGGCATGATTTTAGTTCACTGCAGCCTCAACCTCCCAGGCTGAAGCGAGAGATCCTCCCTCCTCAGCCTCCTAAAATGCCACTACGGTTACAGGCATGAGCCACCACACCTGGCCTACAATTTGTTACTTTTATGACACCTCCATGAACATCTTTTTAAAAATAAATCTTGCTCTATTTTTTTGATAGTTTTCTTCACGTAAATTCTCAGATGTGGAAATTATGGTATAAAGAGTTTTTTTTCTTAAACACCTTATGTGTATTTACTTAATTTTGTGTGTGTGTGTGTGTGTGTGTGTGTCAAGATCTTGCTGTGTCACCCAAGCTGCAGTGAGATGGCATGATCATAGCTCACTGCAACCTGGAACTCCTGGGCTCAAGCAATCCTCCCACCTCAGCCTCCTGAGTAGCTAGGACCGCAGATGTGTGCCACCATGCCTGGCTAATTAAAAAAAAAAAAATTTTTTTTTTTTTTTGAGACAGCATTTCTGTCACCCAGACTGGAGTACAGTGGTACAATCTTGACTCACTGTAACCTCTCAACCTCCACCTCCTGGGTTCAAGCGATTTTCGTGCCTCAACCTCCTGAGTAGCTGGGACTACAGGTGTGTACCACCACGCCTGGCCAATTTTTTTTGGTATTTTTAATAGAAACGTGTTTCTGCCATGTTGACCAGGCTGGTCTCAAACTCCTGACCTCAAGCAATCCACCCTCTTAGGCCTCCCAAAGTGCTGGGATTACAGGTGTGTGCCAACTCGCCCGGACTAATTAAATTTTTTTTTTGTCAAGATGGCATCTCACTATGTTGCTGAGGCTGGTCTTGAACTTCTGGGCCCAGGGTATTTATTAATTAGCATAGCAGCAGGTCAGGCATGGTGGCTTACATCTGTAATCCCAGCACTTTAGAAGGCTGAGGCATGAGGATAGCTTGAGGCCAGGAGTTCAAGACCAGTCTGAGCAACAGAGAGCAACCCAGTCTCTACGAAACATAAAACAAAATTAACTGGGTGTAGTGGTGTACTCCTGTAGTCCTAGCTACTTAGGAGGCTGGGGCAGGAGGATTGCTTAAGCCTAGGAGTTGAGGTTTGCAGTGAGCAATCTACGGTCATTCCGCTGTGCTTCAACCAAGGTAAAGAGTGAGGCCATGCATCAAAAAAAAAAAAAAAAAAATAGTAGTATATATCTGTTTCTTAGAATATGGAGCTGGAGGGTATTCTTTCATACTGAAAATAAACTACATAATATTATACAGTATGTTCAAATGCATGTACTAAAGAACTCTCCAAAATTTTAATCAAAATCTACGTTTAGTTTGTTAAGTAATTTCTTGAGAGAACCACTGAGAGATAGTGTCCTTGTGATGAAATGATGAATCTCTTCAGACTTAAGTCTTATAAAGGAAATTTTGATTATGTTGATCCAAGTAATGCAGTGGTGGCACACTGGTTAAAGGCAAAATTTTACTTTTAATTTCCCTAAATGCTGTCTCACTAGTGTCAGGAGGGATTGGGAATACTCAAAGTGATCTTCCAGAGAATTTCTGCCATAAGAGTGTGTGCCCTCATTAGGAATGGCTCTCTCATTATCTGTCCGTGATTGGAGGGCTGCTTTCTCTGATAAAACCTTTATATCTCCTGGTAAAGAGGAAGATGTAGTATAACAAAGAGCTTTGCCATTTGGTGAGAGAAGGGGATGTCTTGTGTATGTTGCAGTAAAATTCATCATGTGCAGTTTTGTGCCATCTTTGCAAGGGTCTTCAATGCATCCTACTGAGGTGCAGGCTGTCTTGATTGAAGTTGGGGTTTTCAGTTTTCTTAATAGTTCAGCTAGCACTTGAGTCACCAGATATAAACTAGACATTTATCTCCTCAGTTGCCAGTATGCATTCTACGTATTATCAGTTGAAGTTCTTACTCTTCAGAGATCTCTGCTCTTCAGATTGTCTTCCTGATACAGAGATTTGTTTGGTTTTTGAGTGGTTCTATTTTGAGATCATTACATTCTTTCCTCATCAACTCTTGTTCCAAACCATGGATCTTCAGGTCACTGCTTAACTTTTCCACCTCCCAGTTTGATGAAGGTAGATTGAAATTCCTCATCACCAGCTGAGTTTCCACCTCTGTCCTTAGCTAGAGTTCTGCTTCTTTAGATTGCATCTGTTCATTCAATACTTTTAAAGATTCAGACTTGTGTTTACTCATTTTATTCGATTTGTTCTCTAAATTATCTCTATCAATGCAAATGTTTCAATATACATAATAGGCCCTATTT